GTGGTCCTGGGTGCTGCTCTGGCTCAGGCTCAGGCTCAGTACAGTGCAGATGGGCACCTGGGGATGAAGAGGACCCTGGTGCCTACGGAGATCAGAAGCTGCCGTTGTCATGGGGAAGGGTCACAGCTGGCGCAGACCCACTGAGATCAAGGCCCAGGGTGCTCAATGGGAGGAACCATGGACCCCTGGGTTCAGAGGCCCTTCCAGACTGGCTTCCCAAAGGTTTTCAGTCTCATCTCCTGCATCCGCTGGAGCCTGCCAACACACAGGGCCCTCCCCACCGTAGGGGACCATGGAGGCAAAATCTACACCCTCATGAGGGCTGGAGCCCTCCTCCATGGGGCAAACATGAGGAGCCTGCTCTGAAGACACCCTCGCTGCTCCCCTCTGTCAACCATGGGGGACTGTGCACCACAGCAGGTTTGCCTATTTTGCTTCGGATCACTCAGGTGAGTGAGTAGGAAAGGGAAGATTTGAACCTAAGTCCCCTGCAGTTCAAATCCCTGGCTCTGGAGAGAGGGGCACCCACAGCACCATAAGAGCCAGACTAAGGACACGCTGAGTACTATATAACAGTCCTCCCAGAGAAGATGCTGGAAGTAGTCACGGAATGTGGCCCCAGCAGCATCAAGCCAGCTTAGTGAGGCTGAGCACATCCTGCAGACGCTGCAAGTGAAATCCAGCACTTTTCCGTGATGAAATGGACTCCAGTCATCAGGCCATGGCCGAGAGATCAGCCAAGAAAAGGAGGAAGAGAGCCAAGAAGCCCATTTTCCATAATGAATTGGGCTGGGCTGGACGGAGTCAGAATCCCAATGTTTGACATTTTGCTGAGTTTAAAGATTCAGAAAAATCTACTGGCTGGCATGTAGCTTAAAAGTTATACTTCAACTATTCATCAGAGCCTGTGCCTGAGATCCTTGGTTGAAGCTGCTGGCCTGAAATAGTGGACGGGCTTGGGACTCTGGGTCCTGATGGCAAAAGCCTGCTCCTTGCCTGCAAAACGTTGGCTTGCTTTGACTCGGAACCTGAGTTATTACACTTGAGCTTAAGGGTCTAAATCCCTGGTGTGGAAGAGCTCCCAGAACAAAGACGCCACTTCGGTGAACTGCATGACAAAGTAAACCACTGTGAGAAAACAAGAAAAATGACCCAAACACCACTGGTTAGAGAACCATCCAGAAAAAATTCTCTGAGGTAATGGTATCTGTGAAAACTGCATGGGAAGGGGCCAGGTACATCAGGCTTCAGTTCCTCGGCAGCTCGCAAAGATTAGTCCCTGCTGCTGTCAGAGCCAGGCCCCTCTATGCTCAGGGTCAGCCAGACTGTATGTATGCATATGGGGCTCAGCAGGCTGTAGAGGCTCAGCTCTGCCACTGTAGTAGGAAAGCAGCCACGAAGCCACAAACAGGACATAAACGAATGCATTCGAATAAAACTTTATTTACAAGAGTATAAATAATAAAAGGTTAGTTGAAGAAGTCCTTTTTCTGATTCCTTCTACGTAGAAATCTACCAGACGCCTATCAGGAGCTGTGCTGAGCACAGGAACCAAGACAGGAGTAACTGAGGAAGACACACTAGGCCAAAGGGCATCGCTGAAACTTGGTCTCCAGAAAAACCTTATAAGCTCAAAACAAAACAAAACAAAAAAACCCCCAAAAGTCGGGGAGGAACAAACTGGCCCTATATTTAAAAGAGGCCGGAAGTGCTGGGAGCAGTGGGGAGGAAAGCAACCTCCATCCCCCTCTAGCCGGTTGGCTCTCTGAACTGCCTGAACTGCCTGCCATAAGACCGCATGTTGCTATCCCATAAGAACTCCTTCCCCTGGGTGATGACGCAGGAAATCTCAGTTTGACTGTGAGCCAAGGTCTGGGTCTCTCCCGCTTCTATCTGCTGTGCCCACTGCGGCCCCGACGGGGTGGTTCCAAAAGGGCCACACCGCTAGGTGTGGAGGCAGAGGCGGGTAGATCTCTGTGAGCTTGAGGTCAGCCTGGTCTACACAGAGCTCCAAGACTACACAGTGAGACCTTCTCTCAAAACAAAACCCACCAAGACAGGGGAAAGGGCTGCGTTGGTCGCTGCAGACTTCAGCACCAGGGACAGAGCCTCTGCAGGCCCCACTCAGAGGACCAACTGCAGCAGTGTCAGAGCAGGAAAGTGCCTTGTCCCCTGAGCCCAGCTGATGCAAACAGAGCCACTGTGTCCCACTCTTTGTGACCCTGTGTGGGAGGACTGTTGGTGAAAAGAAAGTAAAAACAAACACTGCACAGATCCCTTCACCCACGTTATTAGCTTGGGAGAGACTCGCAAACGTGCCGATAGCGGAGACAGCAACATCTGCTTCTAATTGCTTCTCCCCAGAACTCGTCAGCTGGCGTCTGCCCCAGGAGAAAAGCTGGTATTTGCAACAAACTCTTAGATCAGATGGCATCCATAGTGAGTAATTTCTTACGTGTTTGGTCTTTGAGGCTAAAAACACAGAATGTACCTTTACGGGAGAGCTGGGCCATTGGGGGAAGGGTCTATTTATACCGTTTTCTTTTCGGTTTTTCAACTCGGAGCTTCTCCGTTGTAGCCCTGGATGTCCTGGAACTTTCTCTGTGAACCAGGTTGACCTCAAACTCAGAGATCCTCCTGCCTCTGCTACCCGAGTGCTGTGATTAAAGGCATGCACCACCACTGCCCAGCTACATGTTTTTCATTTACATACCACACTCAGATGTTTCCGTCTATTACTTATGTATTTGTGTCCTTAAAAAAAGAATGAAAAGAAAGTGTTTAAAAGCTTCCACTGTATCCCCTAGTTTATGGGTAACATTCCTCTTTCCCAAATAAGTTTGCAAAAATTTCTTTTGCAAAAGTGGTGTTTTGAAAGTGTGTGGCTCTGTGCTGCCACTTAAGAAGTGTCTCAAGTAAGAAACCCACCGAGTACTCTGAAACAGGGGTCTCGGTAGGTTCTGCTCAGAAGCCCACTACTGACCTTCCACAGCCTGCAGGGCCCTGGATCCCTGGAAAGTCAGGCTGGTGCACAGTGTGCATATGGATATAGAGTCTGGGCTTTGGAGTTGATGGGTTGTCCACACCAACTCCACAAACAGTATCTCCAGGATAGTGGCATCCCCAGGTCCTCCTAGTGCTACAGACCCCACGATACTGGTCCTCTTCAGAATGCGATAGAAGAGGGCATTGCCTGCTGCCCTGCACCGCTTCCTTCCCTATGAGCTTCCACGCAAGTAGAGCCGGACACAGGAATGACACAGGCTATGCCTCTGTCTTCCTAGGGCAAACTGAGAACAATCCGGAGTCACCGAGCACGTCGGTCACAATCCTGACAAGCCTCACACACGCCTCTGGCTGTCCACCTCCTCCACAACCACTGCTACCAGCACAGAGCCCTTGCTCAGCCCAGCACCAACTGCTAACAGGTCCACAGCACTAGTTCCAACTGGACAGCCCTCCTTGGCCCAAGCCAAGGCATAGCACTGAAGGTCTCTTCCAAACCCATCCTCCTGCCCAGCACCCTCAGCATCCAAGCCCACAATAGCTCACACTCCCACTTCCCATGTAGGCACAGTCCACATGGCCATCTTCCTTAACTCATTCAGACAGTCATGACTTACCAAGTGCCTGGCTGTGCCAGGCATTCCAGAAAACAACAGAATCTGCCCCGCAGAAGCTCACATTTGAGTGGAAAGAGACAGGCAAATACTAGAATATAAAAAAATCCACACTGTGCCAGGTGATGGTTAAAACTATGGAGAAAAGCAAAATGAACTCCAAGAGGATGGTGGGCGGGGAAAGTGGCATTTGAGTGACGTTCCCTCTGGGGACACAATATACATAGAGAACCGGAGGAGCCTCAGTCCACGGGGCTACAGGCAGAAAGTGCTCGGCATGTTCTGGGAGACGCAGAGCAGGGCTGGGCTGATAATCAGGGGCTTTGGGGAGATCATTTAAGCCTTGTGGATCATGGGCTTTCACTACAATTAAGACAGGAGCCTGGAGATGATGCCGGGTGGAGCCATCTGACTTAGATCACTCTGCTGCTGTGTGGAGAACAACGGGAAGAGCCAGCAGCAAGGCTAAGCAACAGAAACCCCAGACTCCCCTAGTGCAAGACAGTGACGGCCCAGGCCAGCCACAAAGCAGTGGACACCACGGGCAGAAGGGCTGATGCTGTGAATGGAGCAGCAAGGGTTGCTGGCAGCTACCATGGGGCTTCAAAGGGAAGAGCAGAGGCGGGGCTCCTGCTGGCGTTTGGGACCCAAACTGGAGTCACCATGTGTCTGTTAAAAGACAAAGACAATTGGGGCAGCTGGCTGCAGCAGTGCCGGAGTAGAAGCTCCCCTCCCCCAGCTTTTAAGCTGCCCGGAGGCCAACACCTCCTCCAGGAAGCATTGTGCTGCTCGTGTGTGCACACAGAATGGTCCCCACTGGAGTTGTCTATCTCACTTCCCACAGTAGGTACTCAACAAATCCTCACGGTGATAGACAGGCTGCAAAAACTTGTAGCTCTGATGTTTAAGATTCTCTAAAACCTCTGAAAATGATGCTCAGCCCTCATGAAAAATGAAGCCCAAACTATTCTGCCTCAAATATACAGACCTGTCCCTACTTATCCAATCGAATTACAAAGGAAAATTCTCCCATAGAACGGCTGGCCCGGCAGGCACTAAGTACATGGCTTAAGTCAGAAAGTGCTTGCCTCGAGTCCCTTAATTCAGTCTCCAGAGGCCCAGTAAAAGGTCAGGGCAGTGGTGTGAGACTGCATGCTCCCCGCTGGGGAGGCAGGACAGCCCTGGAGCACTCAGGCTAGTCAGCCTACCCGATCCGTATGAGACGCTGTCTCAGAACTCACGTGACAAACTCCTGAAACAGTCAGGGTTTATCACTGTCCTACACACACACCCACACACACGCACGCGCACACACACACACACACACACACACGCACACACACGCACACACAAAGGACAGCCTCAGTAAAAGGGTATCACCTTGCCAGTCCTCATGTCCCAAGCTTTGATTTCAGAGCTGAAGCCGCCACATAAAAAGACGTTGTGATCTTTTGGATAGAATTTCAAGGTGGTGACTCTGAAGTTGCTCCGACCACTAAATACTTGGGTTCCTGCAACACAGACAGACAAGAAAGAGTGAGAAAGTACTCAGGTCACAAGTGACGTGGAGATGTTCACATAGCTCACCAGGGCCCTGTGTGGTCCAGTGCACACCTTCTGGAAACAGAGCGGGGTGGCAGCTCATTTCCATTCCCTGTCAAAGCCCTCCCCGAGACCCTGACTAACCCAGGCAGCTCATCCCAGGACTCTATGTTTCCTGCTCTCTGAGGGTTGTGTGTGTAGTCTCATCTAAACCATACACCAACTAACTGTGGGACATCTGAAGACAGGCTTGGGGAGGTTCGGGGAATTTCTCGGGCTGCATAGGCAATATAGGAGATTGTTTATCCAGGAATCTAAACTCTAAACGCAGAGTCGGTTGGGATTTATTTCAGGATCCATCTTCCAATCCTTATAAAAAAAAATGAAGATGGGTTTTGTGACAGCAGGTGTGGGTGACCTGACATGCTGGGCCACAAATGACAGTGACCCACACAGCAGCCCAGCCACAGAATGGACATCAGGTGTGGCTCACTGGGGTCTCGCTAGCTCTACAGGACTCAAGACAGCCCTGGTCATTTTTCACATCTTCATAAATGGTTGTCGAGTCCCTGTGTGCACTGTGGTAAATATCTGATACATACAGCTGTCGCTATGGTTTCCTAGAGGTGAGCAAAACGAACTTCAGAGGTGTCCATCACTCAGGGACAGTTAAAGCCAGCACTTGTAACGAGAAGGGGTTAGGCAATAAGCACTGCCTCCACTGCCCAGTGTGATTTGTGCACTCCACAGCATGGATGGCATTCTCATCTGTCAAAGTTAATTTGTCCAAATCTGCACCAAGAAATCAGACCAGCTTTGAGAGGCATTACACAGGGAAGCGCCTGGGTCTGGGTCCTGACGCATCCCTAGGGGCCAGGTTCACACACCAGGGACAGCACCTTCCACCATCCAAAAGCACGGAGGAGGCTTCCCTCAGAGATAGCCAAGGGGAGAAATCTTGGCCACCTTTGGCTCCTAAGACTCTTCCACTCAACCAGCACAGTGGTAGAGTAGAGCGTGGATGCTGACAGCCAAGGGGCTGGGAAGGTGGCCGTCTCAACACCGAATGCCAGAGAAGTGTGAGGAGCTGTTTGATCCCCAAACCCACAGAAAAATCTGGACTCAGTGGTGCACGCTTAAACCCCAATACCAACCAGAGAGGGGGAGACAGGCAGACACTTAAGGCTCATTTGCTGGGCAGCCTCACCTCATCGGTAAGCCCAAAGCTCCCAGTGAGAAGGCAGAAAGAAGGCTGCCAGGGAATGGTACCCGAAGTCAGCCATCGGCTTCCACATACATGTAAATATGCAAGCACCTGCATGCACGCAGCTGGTGGCAAAGACAGCGACGAGAGGTCGAGACCTAAGCCCTCAAAGCCTGAGTTGGTTCACTATGTGCAGAAAGCACACCCGGATGGATGGCTTCCTCTGTCTGCTGACCCAATACACTGAGTGAGCACTCGGCCAGCTCCAGGTCATCCGGTGAGGAAATGAAAGTCATCCATCATAGCTTATGAGAGCCACAGAGGGACAACAGAAATCCAATGGCCAGAGCCACTGTCTCCAAGCCCGTCTGCCTATACCTCATTCAGGACAGACCTAAACAGACAGCACCGTCATGCAGTGATCTGTTTATCAGTGACAAAATGCACCAGTAGGCCAATATAGCATAGACACGCTTTTTAAAGGCTTTTGTTATTCTTTATTTGTGTGTGCTTGTTAGAGTATATGCCATGTGTGTGCCAGAATAACCAGAAGAGGGAGCCGGGCTCCCCAGAGCTGGCGTTACAGGCAGCTGCCTCACATGGGGGTTGGTTCTCTGGAAGGACAGCAAGTACTTGGAGCCAATGGGCTGCCTCTGCAATATCACCATCAACTCTTTTAAATATTAGGGCCTCTTACAGAGTGAGGCGAAATAAAACAGCCAGTTTTAAATATATCGTAATGTGCCACACATTAAGAGCATCAAGCAACTTATTTTTTAACATTTTATTTATTAATTTGGGCAAATGCGCATGCGACACAGCATGTGGAAGTCAGTGGACAACCTGCAGGGGTTGGGTCTCTCCTTCAGCTTTGCGAGTCCCCAGGGTTACACTTAGTTCTCCAGGCTTGGCAGCACATGCCTTTACCCGCTGAGCCATCGTGCCAAGCCAAGGGCATCTCAACTTCCTAGAAACCATAAAAACCACACGAGCTGTAGAGTTACAGCTAGGGTGCTTGTACTGGTAGCAGCAGAGCCAAATGGCCTTTCTCATATCTAAACGCAGATGCTGTCCTGTGACTCGGGGCTTGGAAGTCATCCAACTGTAGTTTCTGTTTACCCAGTGAACCCAGTGAGGCTGACAGAGACTCCTCGAGGGGATGGGCCGGGGCACAGGGTGCTGTCTACTGACACACAGAAAACATTCCCTGCTTCTAGCCTCCAGGATCACAAAGGACTTCAAGCCCATTTTTTCCTGGCAAGTAACAGCCCTACAACTAACCAGAAGGTGCTGTTATGATATTCTTATGTTTCCAACAACTTGGTTCAAAGTCTAATGAAATGTTCATTTAAAGGGTTTTAAGACAGATCAGAAGGTCACGGTGCAGACACGAGTTGTTCCGTTTTCATTGGGTTCTTTTCATCTGATAGGAGGAACTGAACTTAGGACCTTGAGCACACTGGACAAGCATTGTACCACTGAGCCACACTTCCCACCCCCAAAATAAAGTCTCCAATAGATGACACTTAGATCACGTTTGGCAACACCAAATAATAAATAAATAGATCCGTTTTCAGGTACTTGCGCAGGCATAGTGCTATAGTAAAATTTGTGATTAATATGCTCACATTCCTTGGTTCAAATGCCAGCACAGGAAAAAAGAAAAGGAAAAAAAGAAGTATGTTTCAAAACATTCTCTTCAGAGTGACTAACACTAATTATGAATTTTGAATTTTGGGAGGGCCTGAGTTCAGATCTCCAGCACCCACCTAAAAAGCTCAGCATGGTGGCACATTCGTGTAATACTGGTGCTGGGGAATAGAAATGTGGGGTTCCCTGGGGCTCGCTGGCCAGCTAGCCTAGCTGAATCAGTGAGGCTCGGGTTCAAGGAGAAACCCTGTCTCAGAAAAATAAGGTGAAGAGCAAATGAGAAAGACCTCACTGTCAATCTCTGCTTTAACTCGTGCACACACGCGCGTGCGCACACACAGACACAGACACACCTGGAACAGTCTTGTTGGGTAACCCACAAAGGCCCCTACTGAACTGCTAATACCCAGGACTCAGTCTCCTTTGCACAGACAGGCCCATCCCTGGACAAACCTTGCTTTGTTTTTACTTTTGTTCTGTTGGGTTTTGAGACAGGCTGGGGTAGAAGTCACTATGCAGCCCTGGCCACCCTCATGCCTCAGCTGCTCAGGTGCCAGCATTGCAGGCTCCAGCCACCATTTCCACCTGGTACACACTTCCCAGAGCACAGTCACCCCAACCCGACACCTGCACCTGCGCCTGCGCCTGCCCTTTGCCTCCAAAAGTGCTGATTTTTTTTTTTTTTTTTTCCTCCTACTCTCTTCTGGAGTCAAGGATTGACAGTCACTTGTCACCATAGGGAATTCTGGGAATACTTGGCTTTTTGTAAAGGAATACCTGTCCATCTGTAAGCTACACAAGTGCTTAAGGCCCTGAGCTATGCAACAAGGTGGATAATGCTTACCATCTACCCTCTAGTAGCCCAAGTATTAAACAGAGTAAAAATGGACCAAGCTAGGAAGAACCACTGACCAAAGCAAACAGAGAGGAGAGCCTACCAACCTTTGTCACTCACTGCCCCTTCTTCATCCAAGATATTCCATGCAACCTCTGCTACACAGGTATATGCAGCAGGGGCAGAGGGCAAATATTTTCTGATAAAAAGCATAAAAAATTAAAATAATTCCTTGGTACATACATTTTACTATTTACTAAAGATTAAAGTGAATTTGCATACTAATGAGATGGATTACTTGTTTATGTTTACATGAAAAGCTAAGTCTTGGGTATGTGTGGTAGGCCCTGTGCTTCCAGGACTCAGGAAGAAGAGGTAGGAGGCCAGCCTGGGCTACACAGTAAGTTACAGACCAGCCTAGGCTACAGAACAAGACCCTAACTCAAAAAATAAACAAGAAGAAACAAGAATTATATTTGATACAACAGGATATGTCATACTTTCAAAGTTATTCAAAAAACTAATAGATGTTCAGAGATGTTAAGAATACCACTTTGCATAAATCCCATTTTTTTTTTTAAAGGGCAGGAGTATGCCTAGAAACTGCTGGAAATTCTGTCCCAGGACAAACTTCATTCAACATTTTTTTTTTAAATGAAGCAGATATTAAGAGCAATCTTAAAGTCAACATCTAACATGATACAATGCAAGGGTGTACTGTCCACACCTTCATGCTGAGGAATGTAAAAGTCCTTATTTCCCAGAATGGAACTGTTACATTTCTGCAAGAGTGGAAACTTTGTAAATACAGGATTAGCTCTGCACTTCCTCACACAGTAGTCCTGACTCTGAGCTGAGGTGTTCCGGCAGGGCTCACTGGCATCACTATACTGCCTGGTGGCATTCACAGCACATAATGCCCACAGTGTGTGCTCAGACCAAGGCTGCAGTGAGGCCATGCGATGCAACATGGTGAGTGCTGCTAGAAACGTCTTGGCTCCGTTACGCATTTGAGCTTGAATTAATTTTTGGCCACTACACATTCAGCAACCTTTAACAGTTGCTGAGTTTTTCACAAGCCCACATTCAGTGGTACAACCCTGTGGAGCAGTGATCACAGTTTTCAAAGCAGAGTTCTAGAGAGAGGATGCTAACCTTTTAAAACTACAGCATGTTATTTTGTGTTGTGCTAATGTTGCTGCTCAGAGGACTCAGCAGACTGTGGGTGCCCCGCGAGGGCTTCACACCCACAAACCACCCTCCTCAACAATCACTGTACA